ATGTTGAACACACAAAAGACACCCGTGTGCTCTCATCTGTGCCTGTGAAGTCTGAATTAATTAAAAGTCATTGGAGACTTGATTCAGCCCTTACAAAGCACTTTTAATCCTTCACAATTTCACTGCTTGTCAATGCATCATTAGTGACAGCTACAGATGTGAGACATTAAGTGGGCGGAGCATTTTCTGGATTTTTCTCAGGACAAAGTAAAACTGACTTGCCTTGACAGAAATGCAGCTGTTCTGTTCATCTTTTGCTCTAAAACTTATCTGCCAGTTGTTCTGCCAGTTGTTGCACGTTACAGAAATGTACCACTGGAGTCTGGCGGCGCATCAAATCAGAGCAGAACCTTTGCTCTGATCTCAAGCTGTCGAGTTCATTTATTAGCTATGCTGAACATGAGGTCAGTCACTTTTTTTTTCTCACCAAACATGCTTGTAATAGGAGGGTTTCACGTGACGTCACGATGCAGTGCCACTAGAGCGAGAAGTTCGGATGGAGGTCGGAAGTGAAAAAGTGGACGATCTATCTGAAAAAATGCCCATGTCTTGTGTAGTTTACGAGTGCTCCACTAATTCTAACTGAATTAATAATAAATAATTATGCAACGATTAAATCATATATTAAATCAAATAAAATTATGGCTCTTTTTATTAATGTTCGTCATATTTGAAGCAAGTTGCAGCAGGAGGATGCAAAATAGTGCTGATTCATGGGGGAAACCCACCTCATTCCCCTCTCTGGTGTCACCCCCACCCCGCCGAACAAACCTAAACCCCCCAAACTCCTTTCTGACTGAAGCCTGAAATTATTAGACAAGCGGCAAAAAAGTCTACCTGAGGATAAAAATAAAAAGAGGCGGAAGTTGAATAAAGTTTGGCTGCGATAGAGAGGCAGCGAGATCGGAAGTCAGCAATGAGATATCCGAAATTTATTACATTTATTATTTATGTATAACTATATTTCATATTTATGGTGAAGTTTAGTTAGTTATTTTAGTGTCTTTGATGCAAAAAAAAGGCGATGTGGAGCTCCAGTCCAGCTGCGGGCAGGTGGACCGAGTCGGACCGAGCTGCAGCTTGAGACAGGAGCTCAAAAAGGCAGAGATGGAGGAAAAACAGTCGGAGACAGAGCAAGGACTTTGATGAGGAAGTAGGTCATTCACTATTTCAATTATAAGAGGCAAGAGAAGAAGATCGAGCACCGAGCAGACTCTCCGGTCCCGTTACTAGTCTACTGGGCAGACGGTGCGGCGCTAACTGGATGCTAACTACACAGAACAGCTGATGAAAGCACATAAACAACAGGAGGTGTAGAACTTTTTATTCAGCGGGTGGATCYACAACCTCGGTACCAAACAGCTCCATGATGATTATTGGTTGTTTTTTGCCAGGGTGAGTGTTTTTTCTGATATTGTTTTATATGTTAAGATAATGCTAACAGTAGCTGCTAACGTCAACACACATCCAGCAGCTAACGACACAGAACTAGGGCAGCCTAAAGTCCAGATGAGGTCCACATTAAACTACCAGTAACTTAATACTCACTACAAAATAAACGATCATTATAAACATAACTTCTAAAACAAGTTAGCAGCTAACATAGTCTGATGTAGTGATTGCTGCCTGCAGACACTGGCATCCTGCTCCTCCCGACCGCAGATGTTTTAAAATTCACTTTTTACGTTCGTTCCATGAACTTTCTGCATTTTTTTTTCATCTTTGTTTATGATAATCAGTATTATCATAGGTTGTCATAGGGTTGGGCAGAATCGTGTGGAATTATTCATCAGATAAACTTTTGCTGGTTATTATTTGGCACCACCTGGTGATGTAAGGCATGTGTGGTACCGACAGCCTCAGCAAATCTTTAGGTTCGGTCGAAAACACATTCATCCTCATCATACGAGTCATGGCTGACACATTAGTGAACAAATTGTTGTTATATATCTTGAAATAGGATCCAAATCCATACAATATAGACTCTCTACAGTAGTTTCCTCCATAGATATTTTACCCCCTGCCCTCCAGCGGAGATCGCTCCGCCTTCGAAACCATTGTGACTGAAACCCAGCTATTGCCTGACATAGAGATGCAAGCAATTAATTGACTTTTGATTGTCGAATAATAGTTTATCAGATTAAAATTCCTTCCATTCAATAGATTGAAAACGTCAATTTAAGCCGTATTTCGGTGAAGTTTGGCTGCCTTCCAGTAGAAGGCGCAGCTGCTGGTTGCTGGCTGCGCTGCCTGGACTATTCTACCCTGGTCAATGTGGGCGGCATCATAATTAAACATGCAAATCTTGTTTAGTTTTATTTGCGACACAACAATAATAATGGACTACACCAAACTCGAAAGAAAAGTACTGAAAGCTGTACCGGACCATCCAGCAGTATGACGCTTAAGAAAAGAGAGCAGGACGATCCAGAATAGTAAGCTAACTGTAGTTAACGTCAGCTTGTCCTTGTAGAGTTTAACTCTGCATGAAAGAACAAAAACAAAACAAAAAACTTACAGTCACTACAAATAATTAATTTAAAGTTAATCTCATCTGTATAACGTAGTGAACAAATCAAATGAACAGTAACTAATGTCAAATCAGCAGCCCAGCCCAGATAAAACCACAGGGGATGTAAACAAACAGTTCTAGTACTCATTTGTATGTTCACCCCTCTCAGGGATATTTTATTATGTTTATAGTTTGCTTTTGAGTAAATCTTTAGCTTAAAATGTTACCCTAAATGTTAGTTTTGCATTTCTCTCTTCAGGGTGGATTAAGTGTTTTTTTCTTTCCATTTTTTTCCAACTAGCAACCTAATAGATTCCTGTTTTGTTATATTTTATAAATATGTCCAAGTTAAATAATGTGTAAGAAATCCACAATTTTCTGTTTATTCAGTGAGTGCTTACAGCTGGCACAATAAATTTTATAAAATATAATACAGTTTTTTTTATTTAGCATGTAAAAAATTAGTCATTCATATCATATAAAGACCCTTGATTCAAGAGAAATGTCAGGTTTTTAGGAAAATGGTCGCTTATCAATTAATCGTTRGCTAATCAATTGATCAATCAACTTTAGATTAATTCATTAATCAATACCTTGCAACTCTAGTCCAATCAGTTGAGAAAGCAGATAATATATGTAAACCATATGTGTGGCATCACGAGTGGAGAACGCCATTGAAGGCAGGTGATCTAGATGCCAATCCCTCTCCTCAAACAAGACAGAGTTGCTTAAATCTGGTTTGGGAGTTGGTCTGGTTTAGTGTGGGTGATCAGTGGATTAAAAAGAAAATTGAAAAAATTAGTAGTATTTATCTCTTGCATTCCACAAGATATCAAACAATATATCCCCATATTTCAGAGAATTTCAAAAATCTAAGAAAAAATATTAAGTACTAACTTTATGTTCTTGGAACTAACAAACACCAATTTATTTTGCCAAAAAATAATTTCCAAATGTTAGCTGATCAATGGGATTTCTTATATCTTTAAACTAGGAATTGCCAGGTAAATGCTGATTATGCAGTCTTGTTAAAATGGACAAACTGATGCAACTATTGCAGCCACTATTTATTTTTCTCTTTTTTTAAAGACCAGCAGTGTCTACCCTTGTTCATACAGAATAAATTGTGCCTGCTTGGATAGAGGAGGTGAGCAATGACTTTTCAGTTTCAGCAGCTGTAGTTGTGTGTTGTTTTCCCAATCTCTGGTACATAACTTTTCATAACTTTTTTATGCATGTAAACATCCATAAGCTTCGTAAGTGGGGATGGGAAGAAAATTTTTATGTTAGTTTTAAATTGTATCCAAACAGCGTCATTGTTTATCCCAATTATTTGACAATTTATATCCAGTAAAATTTGTTATCGTGACAGGCCTAGTCTGATTCAGTCTTTCAGCAAAGGACAGACAGCAGTCCTTAGCAGTGTTGTAGTCTGTTTTTGCAGATGCTTGGCATTGATGTGTAGAATTTAACTGCATCTCACAAATACAGAAAAAGAAAACTCTGTGTAGACTTTCATATTGTCTGAAATGTTATGAAAACATAAATGGCAAATGAAGAATGTTTTTGGGTGATTTGTAAACTGATAATTGCAACATGAATCGGAGAGAAAAACAGGGGCCTCTGAGTGTTTGTCTGACAAAAGAAATACCACTAAAGTTTATTTTGCAGTGAAAGCTGGAACAAGGAGCCAAAGTGCAAATAAAAAGCTCAAGAGGGGAACATGACCTGACTTCTATTGATGCACTTCTCCAACTAAGCTTCCAGTACTTTCCTTTAACAAGCAAGAATATTAGGATACAATTATAATTTTTGGGATTCTTGTTGTGACAAAAAGACTGGCTGTGGGAGTAATGGGAGTACAATCATTCCTCAATGCTCCACAAAGCACACAGACTTGATTAGTAAAACATTTTGCATTTTGACCAGAGAGAAAACTGACAACAGCTGTAGGAAAAATAACAGTTTGAGCTACAAACAAAAAAATGTGAAATTTAAAATAGAAAAAAGACCGGACGTAGAAATAAACAAAGACAATAAGCTTGAGAAAAGTTGGAGAAAAGGGAAAAAAAGAAAAACATATGGATGTAATTGAAAGCCGATGAAGTGCTGAAGTCATCTTCCTGTCAGGTTATCAGGCCCAAGGCAAAGCAGCTATAACTCACAAAACATGTCTTTTTTTTCCTAAACCCATTATGTTGCACCACACAACATAATAAACTTTACATGCTTCAAAAAGAACAAATCCTGAAACATGTCAAGTAAGGTGTGGCATTTCTAGTATTAAGGGTTACATGTTTGCCTAATCCAATCTGTAAACAGATGGTGTTATCCTCTCAACCTTTTTGAGATTTTCTTTGAGTGCAAACACACAAGCCTGTTCTGTCCTTCCCATTAGCCTCTTTGGCATGGTTGCACAATGACCTCATATGCAATGGGCTGAAGTCCAGAGAAAACACACACACGCACGCACACACACATAGCACAGCACAAGAGCCTGTAGAGTCCCATATAAGGACTCGCTGATGATGTAATGGGCGCCGCTGACTGTGAGCAAGAGTCAGTTTGCAGAGCACTTCTCATAATGTTTGGTTTTCCGGATGGAATGTCCACATCACTGGGATCTTGAGGGAAAGGGGGAAACATGAAATAAGAACGGCAATAAATTTGGAGGATTTTCTGAAAAAGGACCGAGGCTAACCACATCGCATAGGTAGGAAACTAAGCTCCTATTCATTCTGAAAAGATAAAAACATTTGCTCAGGCTTAAAAGTCCTGTTCACTTTCAAGTTAAGCTGGAACAGATTAACAATTTAATATTTGCGGGTTAGAGCTCTTCTAATTGATATCTAAACTTTACATTTAGAAACAGTGAATTCTGTTATTCTATTTTGCCATAATTTAAATTCCAAAGAAAATTTCAAGTTAAACATCTGCCCATCTGCTCTTTTTGCAGTTCTTTGATTTTAAAGAATATTTATATTTACGGGGGAAAAAAATAATTCATGCAAACATTACACTGGGGTTAAAATATAAAGTCTCATTGTTTATACTCTAGAAATAACTTCTCGATTAAAAGTTTAGACCTAAATCAACTAATTCCTAAGCATTATAACTCCACATACCACATTTTGTAGCAGAAGAATATTCTTACATTTTCTATTAAAAAAAAGCAACTTTCAGTAGAGGAACACAAGTAAAGTTAACTATTAGCATTTAAATAAGCAACATTAGAAGCAAATAGTACACACTTTCAGATTCTACACAGCATAAAGCCAGAAGTGTCACTAAATTGCTCAATGCACATTTAATATATTTGTCCATTTCTGGCAGGGGTCTAGCAAAATGTTGAGAGTGACACAACTTGCTAAAAGTAGCCAGTCTTTAATTACTTTAAGAACAGGGGTATTCCTGTCGCTCCAAGCTGGATGTTGGTAGCATCTGAGGTGCACAGAGGGAGGGTGCAGTGTTGAAGGTACTCAAGGGTAGAACTTCTTAATTATCTAACAATCCCTGCCAGGGGACCATCTGCCATGCTAGACAAAGCTTCCTACAGGCTGCAAGTTGCCTAGAGAGAAATCTCCCAACAGCAAAGAAACATACAGATTTTTACATGTACATGTTGCTTATAAACACATTAGATTAAAAAAGCAGACATCACACTATTACTAAAGTTGATCTAAAAACATTATGCTGGAACTTAGAACAACTTGACAGATCATTTGTTTTTAAGATTTTAAACACTAAACTTCTTTAAGATCAGTAGAGGCCAGTATGAAACTTGAGCAGATAAGTCTGACATAACTATGTTTTTTTTTCTTCCCCTCAACAGACTGAGACTCTTATTAATAAATGACTGAATACCAGGAATTGAAAAGCAAGAAAAATAAGAGACATATCAGTACTGAAAGAAAAGCTGACCAAGCTGAAGACTTTCGCACTGCTTTTCATTAAGGACTTACAACATCTAGGAAAGTTGGTGGAAGATCAGCAGCGTGACGTTAAATACCTAACTACAATCGCTGCTCATATTGAGCAGGGGGTCTGTGCTGCTGAAGCTGGCGCAAATGTGGAGGAGGTGCTTAAATTCCTACATGTTGGAGTAGAGCAGCTTAATCAAGTTTCCAACCTCCGCCAAAACCAGAACAGCATGACGGCCCTGAGATCATTGACAGAGGTTGAGGTGCTAAGAAGAAGGGTGGTGGAAATGGAGGGGAAGGACGAAGAACTGATACGAATGGCGGATCAATGCCGAGACCTGGACCACAGACTGGCCAACGAGACGAGTCACAGCCGCAGTCTGAAACTTGAGGTGGACAAGCTCAATGGAAGAATCAGTGAACTGGACCGGTTAGAAGATGCTTTGTGCAAAAGCAAACAGGACTGTAGTATTCTGAAGAGCAAGTTGGAGCGAGAGAGAGAGTTCAGCAAGGTGATGTCGGGTGAGCTTGACACTTTAAGGCTCAGGGTGAGAGAGCTAGAGACTATTGAGCTCCAACTGGAGAAAAGTGAAATGGCTGTTCGACAGGATTTGGGCAAGCTCAGGTCACTGACTGTAGCCTTGGTGGAGGACAGAAAGAATATGGCTGAGAGGCTCCAGCAGGCCGAGGAAAAGATTATTAAGAAAGACAGCAAAAGAAATGAGCAAAGTAATTTGGCAACAATGACAGAGCGGCTGAGAGAGGAGAAGCAGCTGGCACTGAGGTCTAAGGCAGATTTAGAAGAGAAGATTAAGGCCATAATGAAGGAAAAAGGCGAGCTTCAAGACAGACTAAGAGCAGAGGAGGAAAGGAATAGAGAATTACAGAGTAAAATAACTATAATGAAAAAAAAGTTAAACATCTTTGATAATAGGAAAGAAAAAGAAGATAAGTACACAAACAACTCCATTCCAGACAACACCGCTTATCACTGCCAAACAGAAGACAACAAAGTTAAAGAGCTGACCAAGGAACTAGATGAATTGCAAAAGAAACTCCATGAAAAAGAGTTGTTGCAAGCAGAGCTTATGAAATTGGAGGAGGATTATGAGTCTCTGGAAAGGAAGCTGAAAGACGAACAAAGGAGGTCACAAATTCTAACAGAGGAGCTAGAGGTGGCAAAGAAGGAGCTTTCCAGGTACAAGCAGGAAGAGAAACAGGAGGTCAACCAAGAGCACCGTCTTCTATGCCATCTTCAGAAGGAGCAAGTTAAATCGAGACTTTTAACCAAAGAAGTGGACACCCTGAAGGAGAAACTCCAGAAGCTGATGGGGACAGAGGAGTCTATCTCCAACGTGCAGATGGATCAGTCAACGCTGCAGAGGAAACTGACCCAGCAGGAAGCCAAGAACAAAGAACTGGTCAAGGTGATGGAGAAACTGACGAGTGAGCTCGACATGTACAGGCAAACACAGAATAACAACTTCTCACACCATCACCAGACCACCAGAGAAGTACAAACTGAACCTGCAAATCACATGCCTCCAAACTACAATCAATGCAGTGAGAAATTAAATAGAGAAAACACTAACAACCCAAATCTTAATACAAAGGTCATACATGAAGGAAGCCTAAATATCCTAAACACTGAAATAAATGACATCTGTCAGCACGACAACCACTCCGAAATAGACATGCATCAAAATGTTAATGGAGAAGTGATGACGTTAACACATACACCTGGGCAGCCCTTGCAGATTAAAGTAACGCCACATCATATGCTCAACACAGCAACGCTCGAGATTACCAGTCCTTCTAGGGACTCAGCAACATCTTACACCAGCACAGCTGCCATACCAACAAGAGGAGCTTCACCTAAGCAGAGAATAACCATCATCCAGAACTCAGGTTCACCCGCTGTCAGTCCTAAAACCTCAACTTCAACTCCTGAATGCACCATCTCTCCATTTAACGAAACGCCGGTCTCTCGAGTGTTAAGTCCAAAACCATCCCGCTCTACAACACCGGAAAACAACTCACCGATTCAGATTGTCACAGTCAAAACCTGTTCTCCTGAGCCAGCAGAGGATACAAATCAGGTGCTCTTCTGCAAGACTCCTGATCAGCCCAACAGCTGGCAGCATCAGAGGTCCAACAGCAATGACACAAGTCCGAGCATCATCACAGCCGAAGACAGTAAGATCCATATTCACCTGGGAAGTCTGTATAGCCATCCTCTGAATGGTATGACCCACAGCATCCCACAGTCTGTTGGGCCATACTACCTCCGGCACGAACAAAGGACTCACCTAATAGCTAACGGCTGTCATGTAAAAGGTGTTGGAAAGATTACAAGCAGTATCACCATATCTCCTGCCAACGCTTCTGCATCACAATCAAACATTACTGTTGGTGGCCTTTGTGATTAGGTCCAAAAAACAAGATCAAATTAGAAATTAGCTAAAGTACTACACTTTCTCTAAGATGATCTATAATCTAGTGTAATAACCATTACATAATACTTTACTCTGATCCTTTATAACCCACATAACATGCATAATGCTTCTTAGAAACTCTAAAAACATCTTGTTTGTAGCACACATGTACTGTATCATGGGAAAAAAATGTTTCTAATGTGTTTGTTGTAATTTATCATTACAGCTGTTTTTATGTTTTTATGTTCATTAAAACAGTTTTCTTCTTAATGCATTCATCTTTATTACTTTTCTAGATGTAGGTAACGGGTTCTTTGCAAAATGCAAACAGGTTTAGATTTTAAAAATGTACAAAAATGAAAATTATGTTTAAGGTTTTTTTCTATTCCATTTCATCTGATTTACAACAAATGATTTAGTATGTCATTTTACAATTTAAAGATAGATATCTTTTTTATTATTTTTTGCTGCAATAACTCACATGCAATGTAATCCTGATTTGTGTCATTATTGTTCTGTCTGTATATAAAAGATAATTGCAATAAAAATGTTGAATAAAACTGTCTTTTACAAAGATACAGTCACTATATTTGTTAATTTTCTTTGACATTTAATTGATTATATAACTTGCAAGATTACATAGATGAGAATGCAAAGAAACTATTCACAGCAGTCTAGAGTTGTGTAAAAATAAAGATATGTACGCTTTTTAAAATCCAATGTAAAATAAATTGTACATCTTATTTCTGAATTTAGATCAATGGATTCTTTTTAACAAGAGACTAGAAGTGATATAAGAACCAAAGCACAACTCCATATTACTTTAAGAGCATACAATTAGCTCCAACCATGTAAGACTTGTGGAACATTATTGAATGAAGTGGCAAAAACAAATATCTCCAGTCATCATGTGGATGCTGAAATGCTTTAATTAATTCGATCCAGTTATCAAGTAACGACATTTTATATTAGAAATCACCAGACATCAGTAAGGGCCCTTTATAAAACAGTGTTGACATAACAGGCACAATAAGACAAATGTAGGGAATGTCAATCCCTGATGTCAATGGTAAGCAAGGCAAGATGAGGCAAGTTGTTGACAGTTTAGAGAAGCAAAATGTAGCTTGACAAACGCTCTCATGAAAATCGTTATCAGTGGACACAAGACACATCAAGTCTTTTGGGCTCTTGCAAATCTTTGCTACATCCATAGGACTTCAAAGTCCATCTTAGGTATTTGTGAACTTCATATCCTTTTCAGCCTCGTCAATTTTCTGTCAGACTTAGACCTTCTTTCAAAGAGCTCTGTGATAAAAATGCCAGCAACAACAGCATGACAACGTATGATATGATATATGACACAGCATACCTATGAAAAGTGAAACGCCCTCATTAAAACATAACACAAATAAATTTTTATTTAAAAAAATGTTTTGCATTGACCAAAGCCACTCTGAAGGAAATTTGTTCTGTTTACCACTGACTGTTAACAACTTACACATACTGTTTATTTTTATGTACTACTTATGTTGCCTAATCATCTATTTTTTTGATTAAACTGTGATTTTTAAACATCAATTATTCTCATCAGCTGACAGGAAGTATGTGTGAGGATCTGGTCTCTCGCTTTAGGGAGGCTTTCCCCCACCGGAGTAATAATTTGAAATGGGACGTCCAGGTCCTGAAGAAACTCTTAAAACACAATTGTATTTCCTGTTTTGGCACCACTTGCAGAGAAAATAAACCTTGTGGTTGGCCCAGTACCAGTATTGTATGTTCTTTATTCTTGCATCTAACACTCAAGTCTATTTGGTATTTATGTCTGGTTGTTAACATGCAATGGAATAAACTGAACGCACTTTTCTTCCTTGAATTGAAATAAATTTAACAAAATATTGACACCCCTAAACCACTGAAAAAAATAAATTAATAAAAATACAGCTGCAATGTTGCAAACCTAAAACCTTGAAGCTGAAGAAAAAATATTAAGTTCATGAAAGAACTGTGAATTGTCTTTTAATAATAATAATAATAATAATCTTAGAAGTAGAAATGTTTAGGCTGCCTTCAGGCCCAGGGCTTCCTTGTAAAAGAGATCTGTGATCTCAATTAGATTTGCCTGGTAAAATAAAGGTTAATAAATAAATTAAATAGATAAAATAGACCAAAATATTTAGCTGACGTTGTCCACTTAAAGGGATTCCCTATTAGTTGTAACATTAGACTTTATATGAAAAACATATACTTTAACTGTAAAATAAAGACTGTAAAAATAATGTAGGCTGTTCAGTTTTTATAATTTTTAAACTAAAAGTTTAAAAATATATTACACGGACGGGGACATTTTATTTACATGCAAAGCATTCTGGGTAAATGATGACATCAACTAGGTCATCGGTGCGAGGCTGCTAGCGAGCTATATCCACCCTGAAGGTTAATCTTGGACAACATCTGATGATTGGCTCTTTTAAACGAAACCAGAGAGCGTTGACAGAGAGGAGAAGGTAGAAATGACTCAGTCTGTAACTGAAAATATGGATGGAGGACAACAGAGCTGCTTCATGGAAGAAGAACCTCAGCTTAGCCTGTTAGCGTTAGCCCCGACGCTATCACCATATATATACATTAGTTCAGCGCTACACATTCTCCTCTTGTCACTGAAGTCCTCCATCAACATGACAGAGAGAGGAACACAAAAATGACTCAGTCTGCAACTGAAAATATGGATGGAGGACCTCAGTTTAGCTTGTTTGTTGCGCTAGCGCCGAGCTAATACATATAAGGCAATATAGTGTGGGCACCAGCGCAAAGGCTAACAGGCTAAGCTGAGGTTTTTCTTCCATGAAGCAGCTCTGTTGTCCTCCATCCATATTTTCAGTTACAGACTGAGTCATTTCTACCTTCTCCTCTCTGTCAACGCTCTCTGGTTTCATTTAAAAGAGCCAATCGTCAGATATTGTCCAAGATTAACCTTCAGGGTGGATATAGCTCGCTAACAGCCTCGCGCCGATGACCTAATTGATGTCATTTACCCAGAATTCTTTGCGTGTAAATAAAATGGCTCCGTCCGTGTTAAAATATATTTTAAAAATTTACAAAACTAAACAGCCTACAGTATTTTTATAGTCTTTATTTTACAGTTAAAATAAATGTTTATCAAATAAAGTTTAATGTTACAACTAATCGTGGATCCCTTTAAAAAAATAAGACTAAATAGAAAACTGGCAATAGGACATCCCAGTGCATACGAATTACCACGTAGGAAAAGGATGATGCAGCAGCTGTTGCAACAACTACCTGACAGTTTAATTTGTTTCAGCAAGATAATGTTGCATAGTTTTTTAGTGTGTATATTATACTAAAAGGTTAATAATTACACATTGAATCAACTCTTAAATGTTTAAGAATGAGAATTTGTCATGCAGAATGAAAAGATCATTTGTAGGCATTTAACTAAAAAAATATCAGCCAAAAGACAAGTTAATCTGAAAGGTAAAATTGACACTTATTTGCAAAAGTGTCCCTATTTACTTTGAATAATATCTAACAGTTTACAGTTTCACATTTCACCCATTTATGTTAACCCAAAAATTAAAGTGAAATGTAAAAGATGCAATAAAAAAAGAAAATGTTGATTTTCTTTATAAATAATGTGTGGGTATTATTAGTTAGGGGAGTCGTCCTGGAACCGGTAGGTCGCTGGTTCGACCCCTGTTCCAGCAGTCTCAGTTGTGTCCTTGGGCAAGATACTTCACCCTAATGCCTCTGATGTGTCCCATCAGTGTATGAATGTGATTGGCACTGATTAGTCTCCATAGCTGATTGTACATGTTAGTTTTGTGGAGACCTAATAGTGCTGTGTGAATGGGTAAATGAGGGCAGATTGTAGTGTGAAGCACTTGGATAGAAAGGCGCTATATAAGTAAAGTCCATTTTACATTTTACCATTTCTTGAAGGACTGTATTAGTTGGGTTTTGTCTGTACACGTGAACAAACTGACTATGTGTGGGTAAATGTTTGAGTTTAACAATTCCTAATGCAACCTTTTATTTTAAAGCTTACTGGACATGTTCTGTTGCTTTTTCTGCTCACAGCTAAATATTTCGCCACAATCAGGCCAGTAATCTTTCCATGACTGCCCCCTGTTGGTATGCAGCAAACATGAAGACATGAAAGAGAAAAGCTGTAGAAGGAACTTCGTCTGCTTATGTATGGAGCTAAACATGGAAATAGCCGAATTAATGCACAGCGAAAACTGTGAGAAATACAACCAACTCTGAAGCTGACCTTTTAGACTTATTATAAAGCAAGTGAACTGCAGCACAGAGGTGTTCACACAAACACGTGTTTACATCCTCTCTGGTCATAAAGAATCGCATTACCGACCTTATATTCTACATAACCTATCATAAATCAGTGGCCATCTAAACAAAACGTACCTGTACTGCAGTCTTTGTTTACCACTTGTTGATAAACTGACGTAACATTTTGGAAACTAAAAAAGCAGTGGTGTTTGTTAGCTTATGTTAGCATCTCGATAGCAAGTTCCACGTGAAATCATTGGTTATCTTGGACACTCCGATATCACATTAGACATATAACCTAAACATAAACCAAAATAACATAATTACCGTCATGTTTCCACCACTCGTCACCCAAATCGTCTCCCATTTTCCTGATTTTAGGAATCTGTCTGACCAATCCAAACAGACAGCGAGGAGAGCACGCTGGTGATGTGTTCAATGTCGATCCGTTCAAACTCCCAATGTGGGTATTAAAACGACAGAGTCACGCCGCAAACCAACAATATCGTAATTTAAACTATGTTTGAACTATTAGTATAATATACACTTTAATTTGGGTAAATATTTTATGCCAACAACTTGTAAAAACATAATAATTTTCAAATATCTTCATTTACCTTACCGATATTTGGGACAGTAAACATAACACAATTGAAAACAGGAAGGAGCTCACGGTTTGGCAAAACGTTTGCGCATATAATT